GGCGGGAGGGCGTGGAGAAAACACACCCCCATCTCCTCGATGTCGTCTCTGATGATGGAAGCTCGCATGCTTGCGGCGGATACCACGTGGCAGCTGATCGAAGGATGAGGAAGAGGCACCGTGCATGGAACTAATACTCCGTTCCGGTCACGAACGTGAACGGTGTGGTTGAAGAAGTTCACCGGGTGATCCTTGCTCCGCAGCCATGACATGCCCAAGATCATGTCGAATTTGGTGTCCAGAATGTCGAAGGACACCGCCTCACTTGCGTGAGGGGCAAAGTACTCTGGGACGGCGTCAATGCACCGGTCGATGGACTTGTGCGTATGACCGTCTGCCAGGGTGACTTGCGTAGGCTGGGACTTCCTCCGGACACGTGGGCCAATGTCGGCGCGTACCATGAAGTCCTGGCTGATGTAGTTGCGAGATGCTCCGCAATCGATCAAGGCACTGCAGGTCGCCTCTCCGATCTGAATGCGTATGTATAGCAATGGTGCGTCGATGTCGTCGTACCGTTGCGTCTTGAACTCGCGGTCGATCTTCGCGATGTAAACGTGAAGGTCGACAACCTCTGCTCCGGCGTCCATCAACGGAGCTGGTACTGCAGTGTGCAAGTTGTCCCGCAATTGTGCCATAAGCACGTTGCAATGCGGTTTCAACAATCGTCCGGTCGAGGGAACGGGCATCCACTGGAAGTCCGTGAATGTCAATGGGTCTAGCTCTTCAAGTCTTGACCATGACGTCGAATCCCCTGCGATAGATTGCGGCGAAGCTGCCGAATCGGTTGCCGATGGTGATGAAACCGTGCATGCGGTGGACTGTTGCGCGTGGAGCGGTTGGTCCAGCGGTGGAACCAAGTGGACAGCATAATCCTCGTAAGTATACCGAGGACTTGCGACATTCGCATCCTCCCCAGATGTGCAGGAGGCCGCTAGCAAGGCGGCCGAATCTGGCGGAGTAGAAGGTGGAGTCGCCTCACCTTCCGCGGAGCTCAGTTTCCCGAGTTGAGGCGGGGTCGCACATCCTCCTTGCCCTGATCTTGGCACAGGGAGGTCTTGTGCTTGGTGCTGTTGCACCAATAGYAGCTGCCGTAGCGGCCGCGGACCTTGTACTCCGCCTCGGTCAAGCCAAACTTGACCCATGGAAACTGTCCTGGTTGTCCATTTCCGGCTTGCGATGCGGATTTTGCCTTCCCATTGTTGCGGGACTTGTTGGTGCTTCGCGGCTGGACAGCAACCACCTGATCTCCGTCACTTGATGCTGGAGTGGCTGCTGGGTTATCTACACTGTCCGACTGGACTGCAGCGAACTGCTGCTGTCGCGGACCAGTTCGTACCTTCTCCACATAGGTTGGCTGCCACGTGGACTTCTCGTGTGCAGCCGGCCTGTTAGTCTTGATGAGCTCTCTCGCCTTGTTGATTATCTCCGCGAAAGTGCTGTACTGCTCGCGATCACTAAGTGCGAGGCTGAGAGCGGCGCATGACCTGTTGTAGAACTCACGCCGCAGATGCGGAAATGACAAGTCCAAATCGAGCGTCGCCACGATTTTCTGCCAATCCGTGAGCCAGTCACGTGTCGGTGTGCTCTCTTGAGCCATCGTGTAGATGCGGTTGACGGCGAGTGCCGGGGCGTCGTCGACAATGAACCGCTTCTTCCATTCCTTTGTCATGTCTTCCCAGGAGACCTTCTTGTACAGGTCTGAAACCTGGACGCCGTGGATGGTTGCCATGTGGCTGAGCCAGATCTGACATCCTCCCTTGGTGTTGATGAACAGAGCACTGATGAACAGATGGTCAGGGACTTCGTGAATCCCCAACTCCGTTGTAAATCCTTGCCACCAGACGACCGGGTCTTGATGTGTGTAGTCATCAAATTTCTCGATCCGGAACGTCGGCATCTTGTATGGCCTCGCCGAGCTGTTGTTGTGGCTGTGGTCTGTCTGCTGTTGCTGACTGATCTTGGAGTCCAACAACTCGAACCGCTGGCTGATGGTGGCCAGCTCTGTGAAGACACTTATGTCTCCTAGCATTGCCACTACGTGGTCAACGCGTTCCTCCAGTTGGCGGCTAGAGGATGCACTGCTGGAAGCTCCAGCATCTGGTCCTGGCACAGCCTGTTCCAGGCCCAGTACACGGGCGTCCAGTGCCCGTGTGGGATCCTCGTGCTGAATCTTATGGTTCCGCACGGCCCGCTGAAGGTTTGCCAACTCGGACTGCCCAGTACACGGGCGTCCAGTGCCCGTGTGGGATCCTCGTGCTGAATCTTATGGTTCCGCACGGCCCGCTGAAGGTTTGCCAACTCGGACTGNTGCCCAGTACACGGGCGTCCAGTGCCCGTGTGGGATCCTCGTGCTGAATCTTATGGTTCCGCACGGCCCGCTGAAGGTTTGCCAACTCGGACTGTAGGTGGTTACATGTGTAAACCAACCTGCTCACGAGCTTGGCCAAGAACTCCCTATGCTGCTCTTCCGGTGTTGGCTCGTCGCCGTTTGGTTCAAAATGCCAGTACTTGAGTTTCTCGATGCTGCTGGCTTCATGCCGCTGCAGCAGAGCCTGGGCTTCCTTGCGGCGAGCCTGGGCATCTGCGTCTGCTTCGGCCTGTAGCCGCAGCTTCTCTGCTGTTGCCGCTTCATCARCCTGTAGCTGGGCAGCCTTGACTGCCAGCTGGCGTTGTTCCTCAACCTCCATTGCAGCGAGCTGAGCATGGACGTGCTTTTCGTAGTCGGCAATGGGCTCATTGGCCAGTTGGCCTGGCAGGCCCGTCATGTTGCTGACGTGGCACTG